AAATGAACAATAAACAAATAAATAAATGAGTAAACAAATAAACGAACAATAAATAAATAAGTAAAAAAATATTTAGCTATATAAAATAAATATTTAGCTAAATTTATATTTTATAAAAGAAACATTACAAGATTCAACAAGCAGTCGCTAATAATTATGAATCAAAGTTTTGTCATTCCTTTTTCAGTCCTTAAAATAATTTAATCCTTATAACCTGTGATGGACAAAAAGCGTAGCGCATATCCGTGTCTGGTAGGGACACCAACGACACATATACATGCTTGACAACTGATGACCACTTCGTTCTCCAACAATTTTGCCATGACGCCGTAAAACAGAATGATTTCTGAAGTCCTCTCCTTTTCGTACCTATTATGTATGGATAATTTTAATCAGCATTTCGTTTGAAAGATTTCGAAAAAAACCACTGTAAGAGAAGAATGTAGTCTATCACATTAATCCTCGTACAATATTCCCTTAATCCAAAAACACATTTGGACGTCAGATTCAACGCAATAACTGTAAATTATGATTTAAAAACAATGAGAAAATGACGGCATTACAAAGGACATTTTAAAACACGGTGAACTTCTCAAAGCAAACGTGGCTCGTTAGCCTTATACCCTTAGCTTTTTGAAGAAATATCAATCTTGAAGAGTACAACACTGAGTCACTCAGAGAAGGCAGAGGATGGAGGAGTTTAGCCGCACTCATCAAATCATTAGTACTTTTGCGCATTTCTTAACTACAATTGAGGTTGAAACGTTTAGTTCAAGTGATTTTCTTTAGCAATAAAAACAAATTTTCCCCTTTCCAGTGAGATAAAACTTTTGTTAACAAGATGGAAAACTTTCAAAGTGGAGATTTCGAGAGATGTTGTTATCATGTTGACGAATAAAGTAAAAATATTTCCAATTTTTTTTACTGATGAAAGTTTGTACCACATCAGTTACCATGCGTTTGTATCATCAGTTAGTTGATAATCCCTGTGATAAACCATGGAGATAAACATCCCCGTGATTACTAATAAGTGAAAAAGTAGTTAACATCATCCTGCACATCAATAAGAATGGTAGATTCTTGAACGATATATTTTATCAATCCTTAGACCCGATTACCTCTTCTATCTCTTTAACGTTAAAGAGGCATTTAGATTTAGCTCGTAGCACTCGCATGACCTGAAAAGTTGATTAGTAAGCACAAATACAAGAAGCATTATGATTACAGTGTTGGAGACGGTAGTGATGATTTCCTTTTCAGCTATATGAAGTTGCAAATGAGCATCCAGAACGTGAGATCGTTTTGTACTATATGTACATTGCCCGCATGCAAATTCTCGTTTCCCAATATGCATCTGTGCATGAGTTCGCAGATCGCAGATATGTCGGCTGGTGTAGGGACACTCACTACATTTTTCCACTTTCTATAAATATGAACAGATACATACAACTGCCAATATCAAAATATATTTTAATGTAAATGGCATAAATTTGTAGTTTCCTCTACTTTATCCCTCGTTTTTATTATTTCCATTCTAAGTTTATTGGATATCTTGAATTTCTCAACACAAGAAAAATTCCAGTCACATATTTAATCCATGTTATAAAAAACTAGAGAATTTGCGAAAGCAGAAAACTACTTTACTCATTTTTAATCTTCACACCATTAAATGCATCAGAACGCAAACTATACGCACAGTAGAGACAGCTTTCTCATTGGCGTGCAGATCTTTTGGACGTCCAGGCATCTGAAACAGTTTGGGAATCCGTTGGTGAAGCCGTAAATGTTGCGTCAGTACAATCGTTGAACGGCATGAGAATGTGCAATGTTTACACTGGAAACATGGATATATAAGCTGTGATAAGACATGTGCTTCACAAATACTGGAAAAAAGCGCTGACAATCTCCGTGCTCCTTTGGCATCAATTATATAGCCTGCCAGAAAAAAGTCAACATTCGTGGAGAAACGAAGCAACGATTTGGAAGTAAACTAACTTGATGTTCGGCTTTTATAATATGCTTGTTTTCATGCCGGAAAAGACGAGATTTCTGCTTGCAAGTAAAAGGACAGTGTGAACAGTGATGCGTAGTTTGTGCTGATATACTACATTTGTCTTCAGTTTCTTTCCTGAAAATAGTCTTTTTCAACTTTTATTCCACTTAACTGGCTTCTGCATGTAAATTTTAAAATGTTAAAAAAAAGATTTCTGCAATATTTAGACAACACTGACTTTATACAGTCCAATGTTTTTTCGCAATAAACAGAACGGTAGAAGTCAAAGTAAAATAAAAATTGTGATTTCAAATAACATTTGTCCGAAGGGTTCCATTTTTTTCTGCAACACTTCAGTAACACTATTTATTCGCTCGAGAACTGGGAAAACAATGTAAGAGTAGAGCATGATTAAATAGATGGCTGAAATCCTGCAGAAATTCCTAAGTAATAAGGCAGAAAAAAACAACTCATGAAGCGTGGTTTTAAAATAAAATTTTACAGCCCGGAATTTTCTCAATAAAAAAAGTTTTCAGATTGATAAGTGAATGAAATCACATTTTTAGAATGAAAAGAAAAAAAAACAAACATTGTATCAACTGCACTACAGCATATGTTCAATCGTTCTCTTAACAAGGACTTATATTTTTCCTTAGCAATGTGTTCTGAGTGTTTGATAATGCAATGTAAAAGTCGAAGGGTATAACTTTTGAAATGACGACCACAGAAACCGCATAAATACTTCTGCTGCAATGAGAAATTGTTGGTACGACTTCTACTGGAAAGGCCAAAAATTCAACTTTCTTTTCACTGATAAATTTCTTAAGACCTTAAATGAATTATCACCACGAATATGCCATTCGATCTAAGCAATATGCACTATTCTGAAATATTCCATAATATTTCAGTTAATGCTATCCTTGAGCTTGCCTTTAGAACATAATTATTATTATTAAATAATGTAGTGAGCACCTTCACTCTTTGTAGCATGCTTCGCAGGACTTTTAATCAATGTTTTCTGATCATATATATTTCAACTACCTTTTGCAAAAATACATTAGTATGTGCTGATAGCGATACTTCAATTTCTAAATAATATTAGTAATCCTAAAATACATAAATTTAAAATAAAGAAATCAGACAATACCCGCGGACATCGTATTTTAGATTGTTTCTCTGGACCATCGGCTACCAAGAGCTGTTTTGCGTCAACCAAAGAAACTGTCAGAGGTGATAAGATCATATCTTCCGGTATTCCCGGTTGTTCTTTGCATTCTATAGAAGTTACTGAATATCAGTCATTAGAGTATCAGCAAAATTTCTCGGCCGAAGTTCTGAAACTTTGTAATCGCTTCCCGCAAGACGAACAATTCCATTGGGGATTTCATTGGAGATATATGTACCAATTAAAATGCTTGATATAATCGCTATACCAAGAGATAATTATGATATGGACTTTTTTAATTTAAATACAGCGTGATACATAAAGCTGACAAATTACATTCTCAAATCAATCATATATGAATTTTCCCAAGTAGGTTACGGTGCTATTAGACAGTTCATCTTATTTGCTGATTCTACCGCTATACTCCTATTTTTCCAACTCCCAAATCATGCAAACAAAAGGCCTTTGCGGTATCCTTGAAGATAATGAGATAATATTTTTCCGTATCGTCTACTACTAGCAACTGCTATTCTGATACCCATTGAGGAATCACAATTTTATCTTAAAATCGATATGAAAACGATGATACATGCAAATGTTATTAAAAATCATTACACATTACTACTGGATAAAATCACTATGAACCATGACCATTATCCCTTCATCTGCTGTCTTCATCTCTGATCGTTTCATTTCTACCACATGCGTATATAATCTATTACTGTTTTTCCATTGGGTGTCATATATGATATTCATCAAATTTTGGTGAAGCGTATCCTTACCAAGTAATTAGCAATAACCAGCAAACAAATTTACCTCCAAATTTAGTTAGATCCACTGCTGTCCTTGTAATATGTGAAGGACGCTTACCAATGTAAACAGGTGGCCACTGGTATATTTGTGGCTTATGTAGTTCGCAGTGACGTTTCAGAAACCCAGCTGACATACTCCTATAAATACAGATTTAGATACAACGATGCTTTTAAAGAAAATTAGGTGAAACTAAACAAAGCCTTGGCAGACAGGATCTGTTGTCATCATTGATTATCATGAATTAATACTTTATTATTATTATTATCCATATAATAATAAAAATGATGTGAAAAACATAGTTAAGTTACGAAAATACTCTAATTCATCATACACCATATTAATGAGTTAAGAGTGAATGTCGTTAGAGGTTTAAGAAAATAATTTATAAGATAAAAAATAAGAAGCGGAAGGTTGGATAGAAAGAAAAAAGAATAAGGCGTAATCACTACAACGATATGCACGCCGCCAACTGATCACACTTCCTTTGTAATATTTAGAAAACGTTCTGTAACCGGTTGGCGATCTTTTATTCGGTAAAGCATACATAAACACACAAATGACATATACTGAAAAATATATCCCTTAATAAAGATGTATACCTATATTACTATTTATTATTATTATTACCAATGTTAATATTATTATTAATTTCATTATTATTATCATTATTATTATTTGCTCACTTATCTATTTATTTATTATTTATTTATTCATCATCATATTATTTATTTATCACTGTCCGTTATTATTTATTAGTGTTATTGTTATTGTTATTGTTACATTATTTATTTATTTACTTGTTTATTTATTTAACTGTTATTATCAATTACTATTATTACAACTAATTACTGATTATTATTGTCAGCCATTATTATTAATTGCTGGTTGTTATTATATTATTTATTATTATTGCTATTATTTTATTAATGGTATTCAAATTACTTGTTATTATTATTAATATTGATTACAGATTAACGTACAATGAATCGAAAGAACAAAATCGGACAAACAAAGATCTATTGACAAAATCTGCTGATTTTATAGTTAAACGCGTTTAAATATGGCTAGGTCCCGGTAATCTCGGTCTTATTCAACAACGTTTTTCCAGTCCTTGCTTCCCAATATCTTAATGGAACGATACATCTTTAATGGATCATATGATAGATCAAACTCTTGCGCAGACTACCCGATAAACCTCACATAAAAACAGTTGAAACAGATTTCTTGTAAAATAAAATGTAAAAAAGATTATCGGTGTCCAGAAGTGTAAACTAACATATAGGTACACAGGGAACACTTGAAACCGTTCGTGCGCCGATGTCCAACCAAATGCTTCTGCAATCGATTCTGGTCACGCGATATAAAAGGACATTCGATGCAAGCGAATTCGCGATTACATGCGATAATTGCGTCTGAAATACCAAAACAAGTGGGAAAAAATTAATGTGGCAAAGACTTTGAATTTTCACGTATACAATGCACATTATATTCGTGGAAGGCAAAACAGCAAAAGAACATGTAACATGCTGGAATGTTAGGCTGGAAGCATATGTATCGGTATGAAATATGATCTCAACGACCTTTTGAGATGTGCAGTACATTGATCAAAATTATTTGGGAGCAAAATCAGGTATGCTTAATGAAAGTTAGAATTAAATACTGACTGTTAAATATCTTTTAAAATTTAAAACATTTAAATTATGGAAACAAACCTGTCTTTTCATCTATTTCTTTTGTTTCCCCTTTTATATTTTCATTGTCAGTGCAGTTGCCAACTATCTGCAAAAAATGTATTATTTCCAAAAACAGAAAAAGGATTCTTGATTTTTGTTTCATGAAGAAGAATTAGTTAGTGTGAAATCACTACGCATTTTGCAACGACTTTCAGTGAGTCTTCCAGGAAGTATATTTTACTGAGAAGATGGGTGAATGTTTCGTGAACCAAATTTTGCCTCTTTCATTTAATAAGTCACTGTAATCCATAGCAACATGGCAAGTATTACTGCTATTTTCTCTCTATATTAAAGTACACTCTAATAATTGTAGTAACTAACAATAAGTGATAAAGAATATTCGTTGCTATTGTTATTTGTTTGATTTATGAAAAGGAATAAAGCACAATGGACCTATCTACTCTTCTACAATGTTAAACAAGTTATAAAGTCGTCGTACCAAAGCAAGATGGGTCGAAGCTATGCTTTCGGATGTCTCCTTGCTCGCTGTCGCATGGAATGCCTTATGCATTTGAAGGGTTTTATAGTTATCACAACTGCAAAACCAAAGACTTTCACACAAAAATAAGCTGGATCGATATTTTTATGTTCATACAGTCATGAATTCCGTTGGGAAAAAAATTAAATTTGGAAATGAACTGGGTTGAACCGGAAAATATATTTCTCGGCTGTTTGTGATGGAAGATCGAATTTTGACTGTTCAAGACATGAAGTCCCCACCTAACAAGAGCAGAAGATTCATTATATATATCCGTCCATTTCGCAATGTACTATGTCCGAATATTTTATTGAAAAATTAATTTGAGTTGTACAACAGCAGTTGGGGGTGACGAAGTAGTGGATTTTTAAAAAAGAACATAGAATCGATATAAAATCCTATTTTGAACTAACTGCAAAACTCTCGCATGTATATTAAATAATTCCCCAATTCACAATTGCGTGAAATATGGTTTTGTAAAGACAACAGATCACAAAAAATGAAAGAATTAAAGAAATGCATATCCTTTTGATGGTTATTTTATACCAGATTACTTTCTTTGGTATGCGTACCGTTTCAAAAATAGCACAACACGCAGTTAACTATTTGAATGCTCTATTAAATATTAATTCAATGATTGGGAGCTAAAATCAATGGAGTGGGTGTATGAACATTACTACAGCAATACTACATAAACACATGCGATATTGCTACATATCAGCTCTCGAACAAACGACATAATACCAGCTATCCAGTTATTATGGTTAATCTTCAGTGATATCGTATTACAATTATAGTTCTTTTACTAAATATGACTTTCTAGCAAATATTTATTAATTCTACATTGCTACTACTGTTTTCTCAAAGGGAACATTGCAAATATACCCAAAATCGCATGAAGCACACTTAAATCTTTTACTGGCGCCATGAAGTTTACAATGATTGGCCATCCCACGACGTGATGTGAAAAATGATGGACAACTGTTACAGTGATATGTTTGCTTATCCTGAAATTTCGAGAAACGAAAGATAAAGAAGCCCAGAATAGATACAATATGGATTGGAAAGTGCGAGAGGAGCAGAAATATCTTACCACAGGTTTATATGATTGCTTTAGACACCTGGTGATGGTAACGTGTTTGCTATCTGTATTCTTTTCATTGCTACCATCTGATATGAAATCCAAATGCCGTATCGGTATTTTTCGCCCCATTTTCTTGATGATTTCTGGATTAACAGGATCTGTTCCACACAAAGAAAAACTCTTGCTTCCTAATGAAGACATATGATTGTTCGATTTGGATGGCAATTTTGACGTATTTCTTTGTGCCAGTTTTTTCCGGCCACTTAATGAAATCTTTGCTCTCATTACCTTAAATTGGAAAGTTAAGTTAGAAAAGAAAAGATTATTACAGAGTTCCAGAATGGGATTACTTTTTCTCTGATTACTTTTTACAGTTTGGAATGTCTCTTCCCTAAAACTGCTTCGAGTCAATTTTTCAGAAAAAACAGCTTAGTACTTAGAAAGCTTCCATTTCCACTAAACTTATCGTTTTCTGCAACAACCTCAGTCGGATTTTCTTTTCTTTTGAATTTAATCCCGTTACAAATCAGTAGGATATTCGAGAACTCTGATCCACTGCATCAACGCCAGCCACATAAATCATTATTTCACACGGTTTAGTTGAAATGCTACTTGACTGAAGCATTTCAACTAAGCCGTATGAAATGATGATTTATGTGGAAGTAATTAGAATGAGAATTTCACATCATTTTTATCGCAATTTTATCTAAAAAAATTGATTGTGCGTGCGGTCAATCGCTGGCTGGAATATCTCAAGCAAAGTGACACTTTATCAGAAATTTGCTGACATTGTCCCAGACATGCAATCTAACTTAATATCGAGACTGAAACATATCTGGACGATTACCTTTATAACATTGTTGGTGCACATTTAATAAAACCTACTTGAATTTGTTGCCAAACTATCAGATATAAAAGACAAAAGCAACAAATAATCGTGATGACAGAACTAAACTGAATAAATGAATAAAAATAAAAACTAATGTTATGGAAACAATAAGTGAAAATGTGAGAGGAACGAAGTCTGCTTGCAAGTTGACACCCAAGACGGTTTAGTTTTAGAAACAGAAGTTGGAATAATTGTTTTGAGAAAGGCAATAGAGAGAAAGCGGCTAATAACTTCAATGATCCATCCATTCTCTAACTGATTATTAAAAAACAAGTATATGAATTTATTCAATAATAATTTATCCTGGGGGAAGTGACCGAAACGTTCTGAAAGAAAAGTACTGGGAATGTCAGAGAGCTCAAACCGCAGCATGCAACCGGAAAAGTGAAATACGTGCATTTGAGCAGCTATTATTAGATGATTTCTGGCTAGACACTTAGCAAATTGGTATGAATTTCTTTCTTCAGACCCAACGACATATCTATTTTGAAAGGCAAACATATACGGATCAATGTGCTGCCAATCTTTCCCATATACTCGCAGCACACTTCGTTTTAGTAATATCAGCGATGCGTGGAGGAAATATGCAGCGCTAAGCTTGAAAGGTGCGTCACGTCTGCTCGCACACGGTGGAAAAGTCAGATGATACGTAAACAGAAAAAAAGTAAAATGGTGAAAAAGACAATTCGGTTAACTGGCAGCAGAAAATGATATCAGCAA